CCCCCAGCCTGCCTGGGCCTGGCCTGCTCCCCACGGAGCGGTGCTTCTCACGTGGGCGCTGAGGAGGGAGAGAGCGGGAGGTCTTCTGAGAAAATCATGCTTCTCCATTGACTGGAAAGGAATTGACTCACAGAGCTTCCTGGGTTGTGCCCCAGGATCCAGGGTCGTTTCTGTAAATGGGAACCCGATGGAGAAACAGCAGCCAGGCCACAGGAGGGCCACGGTGCCCTGTGCGCCTGGAGACGACTCGGCACGAGGCGCTGTCTGCTGTCAGCGCCACTCCTCCGGGCACCGTGGCCGGGTCCTGCTCCTCCCAGGCCCTCCTCGCTCACGCTGACCTCTGCTCCACGGCCCCCTCTGGAACAAGGCTCTGGTTCCACGGCCCTTCACGGCCCCAGTCACCCCGGAGAGTCCACAGATGTGGGGGCTCGGCATTCGCTCTTTGATCTGCTGCAGATGACATCTCTCTCCTGGAGGAAACTCAAGTTCACATCTTCTCTGAGACAAACAGATAAACAAAGGAAGGCGTGAGGACTTCTCAGATCCCAGCCGCGGCCATGAGCTGTCCCAGGCCAGTGCAGAGGGAGCCCTCAGTCTCCCTCAGTAAAGTTCAGTGGTGTCCCAGGTCTGGAAGCTGAAGTTGCAGCCACATTCCAGCAGGCACCGTGGGGATGTTTTGAACCGTCTGCAGCTCACGGTCATTTGCAAATGTCACACCACTGATGGGCATTCTCATCTGCGTGGACTTCCAAGGCCTATTTGGCTTTATTTTTAATCCCAAACCTTCTGCCACACTGCACGTCGGACACACGCCCGGTCTGGCTTGTTCTGAAGACCCCTAGCTCCAGTGTGCTGTGCTGTGCACGGTCTGTCACCGCGTCTCCAGCCAGCATCTCCCAGTTCTGAATACTCATGAACTTCCTGCCACAAGTTATTCGGGTCAGTTTTTCTGATGTGACTTTGATCTCAGCATGTTTGTTCCCTTATGTTTAGAAAAGTACATCGATATGAACACATTTTTCCAGTGACATTTTCATCTAAGTGCCTCCTATTCAGACCAAAGCTAATGCGTTGACTACACTCCCATGTGGATTGCAAATTAAACTCTGCACATGGTCCTGTGTCCTGGGCAAGTCAGAAATCTGGATGACTTCAAAATGTTAGTGAGCTCCACTCACCATGTTTTGAAGAGCAAATTCATCCCATGGAGTAACTGAACCACAGCTGTTTGCCTGTCTTTCAAGATGTAGACCATGTCTTTCTGCTGAGCAAAGGACATGTTATTCTCCAAGACAATCGCCGTGCATGTGCCTGTTGGATGGCCATCGGCCCCTGGGACCTGCCAGGAGGTGAATGAGCTGAGAAGTTGGTTTTGCACGAGGGTGGGTGGGAGGGAATGTCCAAAGTGTCCCATTCCCCATCAGATTTTCAATATCTACCAGGAAGCATCACATATTAGCAAAACTAAAAAATAAAGTTAGCATATTTGAAACTAACATTCATTCACACAATTCATTTTGATACTATTCTTTGTAGAGAAAATTCGTAAACTTATTTCCAAATTGAGACAATAATACATGAGTGAAAAGGCTATTTCCTGCAGAAATGGAACTCAACCCT